TGCATGATCTCATGCAGTTACTCCTAATCTCCCATGTTCTAGCAGTTAAACCTTAGTGGGCTGTTGAAGTTGTATTAGTTAGTTTCTTAAGTTTAAAAACTATTTAAGTATGCATTGTACTAAGAACACTTGTTCTGATGATTATGATTTTATCATTCTGATGCATATTTTGTTGTGATCAAATATGAGTGTGATATCGATTTTTATCATGGTATCAGAGCTAGTGTAACAACTAGCTTTTGATCATCTTTTCTATATTCTGATTTCTCTAAAAAAAAATGTCAAAAGCATCAAATATGAGTTCTGGAAATTCAAATTCTCTTCAGCTTATTTCACCAAATAATCAACTTGTAACAGTCAAACTCGATGATAGTAATTTTTTGGTGTGGAAGCAACAAATTCATATGGCCATCAAAGGATATGTACTTGATGGATTCATAGATGGCAGCAACAAGCCTCCTGAACAATTTCTAAGTTCAGATTCAACCATTCCAAATCAAGATTTCATCACTTGGCAGAGACAAGATCATCTACTTGCATCTTGGATTTTATCATCTCTAGGAACCAACATTCTTCCATTAATGGTTGGTCTCAACACCTCTCAAGAGATATGGACTGCTTTGGAAAAGAATTTCAGCAGGCATTCCTTAGCCAGAGTGATGCAATACAAGATGGAGATTCAAGCTTTAAAGAAAGGATCTTTAACCATGAAGGAATATATTAGTAAAATGAAGGGCCTATTTGATGCTTTGGCAGCAGCAGGACACATGATTTCTGAAAAAGACCAGATCATGCATCTTATAGGAGGACTTGGTCAAGAGTATAATCCTATCATGGTTACAGTTTCCTCAAGAGTTGAGCCTTGGACTCTACTTGATATTCAAGCCTTATTACTAAGTTTTGAATCCAGACTGGAATCAGTGGGTGCAACCAACAAACCTCTGGTAAATAGTGATGGTTCATTTCCTATTCTCAATGCAGCTTACACTCAGAATTCATCAAGAGGAGCATTTCAAGGTGGCTTTCAAAGGTCAAGAGGTAGAGCTTCATTTAATCAGAGAGGAGGCAGGCAAGGAAGAGGAAGAGGAATGAGATCTAGAATTTCATGCCAAGTTTGTGGAATTGCTGGTCATTCTGCCGAGAGATGTTGGTATAGGTATGATAGTACCTACATGGGAAGTGCACCTGATAATGCCAATAAGAACTTCAACAACAATCCATCTTTGAATCTTGCTCATACTCCAAGTTCAGCTTCTTATGACTTGAGCACATAAAGTTCACAATGGTATCCTGATTCAGGTGCAACAAATCATGTAACTAATGACCTTAGTAACATGAGCATCTCAAATGAGTACACAGGTGGAAGTAAACTTCATATGGGTAATGGTTCTGGTGAAAATATTCCTCATATAGGTAAGACTACATTAACATCATCCAAATCAGATAGAATATTTGTTCTTCAGGATCTCTTACATGTTCCTAAAGTTACTAAGAATCTTCTAAGTGTTTCAAAATTTGCTTTAGACAACAATGTCTATTTTGAATTTCATCCATCTTGTTGTTTTGTGAAGGATCGAGTAACTCAGGAAGTGCTACTCCAAGGGGGGCTTAAACAAGGACTTTATCAGTTTCAAATGAGTACTTCATCATCATTCCCATTTCAGAATCAACCATCCACATTTAAGTCTCAAAAACAACATCAGTCTGCCTATTCTCTCAACCTTGTGAAAGAGAGTGATTCTGTTGATTTGAAAAAGAGTGTATGTTTAGATTTATGGCACAAGAGACTTGGCCATTGCAGTTATGAGATTGTTAAGAAAGTGTTAAGGTCTTGTAATCAGACATTTGACATGAATAAAAACATCACTCTTTGTTCAGTTTGTGCAGTTTCAAAAATTCATAGAATGCCTTTTTCTGATTCTGAAACTCAATACACAGCTCCTTTTCAGTTAGTTCATTCAGATCTTTGGGGATCATCTCCTGTGAAATCCAAAAGTGGTCACCTCTACTATGTTAACTTTGTTGATCGGTTTACAAAGTTTACATGGATTTATTTTCTGAAACAAAAATCAGATGTCCATGAAACCTTCATTCCCTTCAAAACCATGGTTGAAAATCAGTTTAACACAAAACTTAAAACCTTGCAAACTGATTAGGGGGGAGAATACAGATCACTTACCAATTTCTTGCAAACTAATGGGATCAATCACAGGATCTCTTGCCCCTATACACCACAACAGAATGGTACTGCTGACAGAAAGCACAGACATGTCACTGAGATGGGATTATCTCTCTTACATCAATCTTCCTTACCTCTACATTTCTGGGATGATGCTTTTGCTTTTTCCTGCTACATAATAAATAGGTTACCAAAAAAGTCCTTGGATTACAAGACTCCCCTGGAGAAGCTTCATCTTCATCTTCCTAATTACTCAAAACTAAAAACTTTTGGTTGTCTTGCTTTTCCATTCCTTAGACCTTATAATAAGCATAAATTAGAACCAAGATCAGTAGGAGGCACCTTCATTGGTTTTAGTAGTTTTCATAAGGGATATAAAATTCTACTTCCCTCAGGAAAAGTTGTCATATCAAGACATGTATTATTTAATGAGGAAGTTTTCCCTTTCAGTGATAATCCTAAAACTAAACCTGTTCATCAAACCTCACTTCAATCCCAGTCTGTTATTGCTCCTTTACCTGAACCTATCATCACTACTCAAAATTTTTTTGAACATGTTCATTCACATTCAGAAACATCAGATACAACATCATCTTCACCACCTCAAACATTAAGAACATCATCACCACATCTTACTCACAGCCCAAATACTCATAGTTCCAGAACCATAAACAGCCAGCCAAGATCTTCAACCTATCCCTTAGTTGTAGAATTGCCTATTATGAGGAACAATTCACCAGAACAAACTCAAATGAATGTCAGACCAGTTGACAACCAGAACAGACATCACATGATTACAAGAGGAAAAGCAGGAATCCATAAACCAAGGGTTCTAGTTGCCAGCATTGAAGAAAGGGAACCTACATCTCTTGATGAGGCTGTAAACTCTCCTCAATGGCATGATACAATGGTAAAGGAGTTACAAGCACTCAAAAACAATCACACTTGGACATTGGTTGATATTCCAAAAGGAAGGAACATTGTTGGATGCAAATGGGTTTACAAACTCAAAAGACACTCAGATGGGATCACTGTTTCTAGACACAAGGCAAGGCTTGTGGCACAAGGATATTCTCAAGCTGCAGGTTTTGATTTCAAGGAAACCTTTAGTCCAGTGGTAAAGCATTCAACAATCAGAATTGTTCTTACAGTGGCTGTTCAATATTCATGGAAAATCAGGCAGCTAGACATAAATAATGCCTTTCTTAATAGAGATCTTTCAGAAGAAATCTTCATGATTCAACCACCAGGATTTGAAGAGGGATTTGCTGAAAATGAAGGAAAAGTTTGCAAGCTTAATAAAGCTATTTATGGACTTAAACAAGCTTCAAGAGCTTGGTTTATGAAAGTCAAAGCCACACTGAACAACATGGGCTTCATTTGTTCAAAATCAGATAATTCTTTGTTTTACAGGAAAAATCAAGCTTCTATGATTTTTGTCTTGATATATGTCGATGATATTCTGATAACAGGAAGTGATAGCATGGAAGTAGAAAAGGTGATCAACCAGCTTGACAAAAGTTTTTCTCTCAAAGATCTTGGTGAAGTTTCTCATTTCTTAGGCATGAAAGTAAGCAAAACTGATAAGGGGTTGTTTCTTTCCCAAGAGAGGTATGCACAAGAGCTTCTTTCTAAGCTCTCTATGCTCAATGCTAAGGGCTGCAATACTCCTATGTTAACCAATTGTATTCTTCAGAAAAACAAGACAGCTGACAGTGTGGATGGAACTCAATACAAAAGGATTGTAGGAGGACTTCAATATTTGACTATAACAAGACCTGAAATCTCCTATGCAGTAAATAAGGTCAGTCAATATATGTCTAATCCTAACATAGAACACTGGAAAGCAGTCAAAAGAATTCTGAAGTACATATCAGGGAGCTTGAGTCTAGGACTTGAAATTATCAGAACAGGGAAACTGGACATTGTTGGCTTTTGTGACTCAGATTGGGCTGCTGATTTGGATGATAGAAGATCAACTAGTGGTTTTTGTGTTTATATAGGAGGTAATCTAGTTTCATGGAGTTCAAGAAAACAATCCACAGTTTCAAGATCAAGTGCTGAAGCTGAGTACAAGAGTCTAGCTCATGTTACATCAGAAGTTCTTTGGAT